CAACCCACATAATGCAGGGCACAATGGCTCAGCACACGCCCTGCATCTGCACAATGTGGCCTCTCTGTTTTCCGGGGGCCATCACGTCTCGTGCAGACTGGCAGGTTTGCCGCGTGCATACACATTCCGCACTGCTACCCAAGCCCTGCTGGGTGTGGCGCTGGGAGTGTCTTCAAGCATGACCACCTGCTTTTCCAAATCTAAAAAGTAAGCCAGCCCTTCCAGAGCCGAGTAACACAAACATGCCATCGCTGGGTCATGGGGGACACGGTCCCTCGGCCAGACCCTGTCAGTCCATCACATCCCAGCTTTCAAACGGGACAGTCCCAGCTGGTCGAAGCGGCATGTCGCTCTCTGAAATAGGCAAAGCCTCTGGATCCCAGGCTGCAGTCTGGAAAGTGGGATGGTCCCCGGCATCCCTTGCTTCCCTCCACACACGATTGGTTGCAAGGAAGTGATAAAGGCAGGACGTGTCTAGCTGAATGCAGGTCCCAGCTTGAGGCAGGCAAAGATGCTGTTTAGGAGTCCGTCTGCAGAGACCCAACACATTCTGTTCTCCTGTTTCTCTGTCCCCGCTGCCCTTTCCCTCTATTGCTCCCCCTTCTGTCTCCTCCCTTCCTTCTACTGTCTCCACAGAGGTGGTGGGATTCTCCCCGGCCACGCTGAAGCACAGCCAGCGTGCGGTCTGCTCCGGACCCCACCCGTGCTGCTCACAGAGGCGCTCTCCGCGATGGCGCCCCCATGGGGCTGGTGTAGCACAGACACTCCTCTCCAGCAGACTCAGCATGGTGCAGGAGCCCCATAAAATAGAGCCCAGCATTGGGACCTTCCTGCTCCCCTAGGGATGTGTAGGAGTTTTTTCGTTTCAAGAGCAGCTCACCTGGGAACTAAGGAAAAAGTGGGGAACTGGAGCAAAAATCGAAAGCTGTGAAACCAGCTCAGCGAGAAGCGGCTGGTAATCCGAACAGACCCTGGCAGCACAGAGATTTCACAGCCGCTGCATTTCTGCACCTATCCTAGTGAGGCCACCTGGGCCAGACAGCAAATAAACAAACAAACAAGTCAAAATACGCAGGCAAATGAGGACGCGCTCCAAGGTTCCTTCTGCTGCCAAGAAGTCTGCCACGTTTTCCTGCCTTTACAGCTACGTGTTTGGGAAAAGGCTAAAAATAGCCCGTGAAGTTTAGCGCGCGGTGGCCTGAACGCTGGGATGCAGCTGGCTGCTGCGTGCCAGCCTGTGGTTTCCCTGGAGAAAGAGCAAGGCTCTGACTCTTACAATTTAGGAAGGCAAAGGCTTCCTCTTCCGAAAAACAACCCGGATTATGCAGGACACTTGGAACCCGTGACCCCACCCGCTGATGCGACACGAGGGCTGCCCAGAAAACATTCATTCTGCTTCACGAAAAACATCGCGGTTACTAAACGTTTTTGTTCACACCGGAGGGAAATGGAGACTTTTCCGAATCAGGGACTTGAATACGGGGCTTCAGCACCCCACGTGAGTGCGCTAGCCACCAAGCTAGAGTCAAATCTCCCCCAGCTGGAACTGTTCCACTTTGTACAAAGAATCAGCCATTCAGCCTAAACAGAATACTCCACATCAGGATCTGAACCCGGGTCTTCCCTAGTCCAGGTGAGCACTGGCCTATTTTGGCCATTCTCTTTCTTTTATGCCCACACGCACCCACCCTGGTCCTGATCCACCTGCACGTGGAAATTTTCATCAGAACGGAGATGTTGCCACACACAGTTTTGATTTTGACAAACTGGCATTTTCCCACAAAAAAGAAGTCTTGTCAAAAAATTCCTGAGCCGCTCTAGGCTACCTTACTTCTCCCGTAACCTCCCATCTCCTCCGTGCGATACACAAACACACACCCTGCACCGCTTGTGGCCATTAAAGACCCCAAGGCACTGGTTCAGGGGGTCTCCAACTTCATTGCAGCACGACCCCCTTCTGACAACGAAAATTACTACACGACCCCAGGAGGGGGGACCGAAGTCTGAGCGTGTGTGTGTGTGTGTGTGTGTGTGTGTGTGTGTGTCCCAAGCCCAAGGGCTTCAGCCCTAGGCAAGGGACCTGTAACCTGAGCCCCACCACCTAGTGCTGCGGACTTTGGCTTTGGCCCTGGGTAGTGGGGCTCAGGCTTTGGCCCCAGGCAGTGGAGCTTGGGCTTCGTCCCCAGGCCCCAGCAATCTAATGCCAGACTTGGCGACCCCGTTAAAATTGAGAACCACTGCACTAGTTTATTGTGCATGAGCGTGTGTGTGTGTGGGGGGGGGGAAGCTTAAGCTGACTATGTCTACACTACAAGCACTGCAGTAAGGCTGCTGGCACATAGGGGATTCCTACCGCAACAGAAAGGCTTCTCCCGTTGCTGTAGTAAATTCACCTCCTGAGCAACATACCTAGGTTGACCTACCTACATAGACCAGGCCTGAGGGGCAAAGCAATCTGCCCACAGTCACCCAGCAGGTCAGTGGTAGTGCCAGGAATAGAACCCATGTCAGCTGAGTCCCAGTCCAGTGCTCTATCCACTAGGCCACACTGCTGATATACTGATGACACAGTTCAGTCACTAGCAAAACAGACCAGATTAAAACCAGTGTCTGAGTGGTAAACAATGTATCCCTTTACCAGTCCCCTGGGCCATCCAATCCCCTGGCTGCACCAGGCAAATGCAATCCGTATCTAATGTAGAACTATGTCCACATCATGCTATTTGTCTAACGGTGATATATAAAAAGGTGCATGCGTGTGAGTGAGAGACGAATGGAAACATTCGAGTATAGACAAGTGCTTTTAATTTCTTTTTTAAAGAAGGTCTGCTATATGAAATAGGCAGCTAGATGTGCCCATTTTGCAAAGAGAAACAGCAAATGCATTCACTTTGCAAATTCAGCAACAATATACTGCCTATTCTACAAAAATAGGCAATACGCTTCCCCCTAAATTGAAAAGTCCCCGTTCAAGGGCACTGAACAAACCGGGTGGCAGAAATTTACTGATTTCTTCATAATTGGCAATTTTTCTACAAGACACATTTTGGGTCCCATGCAGTTGCAGTCAAATAAAACTGCCCCTCCACCTCCTCACTACTTACAACAGAGCAACCTAGTCAAGATTTAGTACAATGGAGGGTATCACATACCAGAAGCAACCCTGCTTAGTTCCTCTGTGCTTCCAACAAAACCACATACTGCTTTGCAAATGTTCTATTTTGAGGAAGAAAATATTGATGTTCTTCTCTCAAATGCAAAAACCATCAGTTATTCCAGGCAGTGTATTTGGGGAAGGAGGGTTATGAAGCAAAAAGCCAAATGACTTGAAGGTGAATTCCAACCCACATGAGAACTGCAGCTTTCCCTTTGGAATGCACATCCCAGGGCATCACAAAAGGTTTTTTAAAACACAGAAAAGAAAAAGCACGCGCCCTTAGTCACTGTCAGCCATGCTCTGATCACTGGCTCTGACACACCTCCAGGAACAGCCCCTCAGAGCGCTGCTTTTACAGTCACAGCTTTAATACCACTTCCCCGATGTGGATTATTCAGAATTTTCCCAACTATCCCTCCCAGTTTCATGCAAACCTCCACTCCCACGGAAATTAACAAAACCTGCTAACCCTTCCACATAAGAAGCTAAATCCGACATTTCAGGCTTCCCCACAGAGGGCAGCTCAATAGCGTCTATATCGAAGTCTGCGTTTCTAAATATTCTAATACAGGGATCGGCAACCTTTGGCACGCGGCTCGCCAGGGGCTGGTTTGTTTACCTGCTGCGTCTGCAGGTTCGGCCAATCGCGGCTCCCAGTGGCCTGCATTAGAATGGGGGCTGCAGGAAGCAGCGCGGGCCGAGGGATGTGCTGGCCGCCGCTTCCTGACACCCCCGTTGGCCTGGAGTGGCAAACCGCGGCCACTGGGAGCCGCGATCGGCCGAACCTGCAGACGCGGCTGGTAAACAAACCGGCCTAACCCGTCAGGGTGCTTACCCTAGCGAGCCGCGTGCCAAAGGTCGCCAATCCCTGTTCTCATGTGAAAGTCCATTGCAACATATAACTTACATGGGAAAAAATTACATGCCTCGCCTGTGAGACTAATAATCATTTAGATTATTAAAACAAACATTGTTTACAAGCTGATTTGTACTTCCCAGTCTGGGCTGTTTGTTTACTTTTGGCATTTCACCTAGATTGGACAATGGATAATAGACTGGTCAGTTTCACTTTTGTTCCTAGGTTTCACTTTCCAGTGACCATGGAGCAGCACAATGGAGTCGTTGCGTTACTTTCCAGAGGCAATGCTGTATGTCTCTTCACCCCCTTATTTTAAATAAAACTGAAGTTTAGGTTTGTAACCATCTGACCAGGTCTCTTCAAAATCTCACCATAAAACTCATGTCTTTTCCATTAAGTAACGAAGAGCAACTTCCATGAAAAGTTTGCAGTTCACCCTTAGACTGCTTTTCTTGCAACAGAACTGGACGGGGCGGTGTTTTTTGTTTTGTTTTAAACCACAAATTCCTAAAACGCAATTCTGTGGTCAGCTGGAAAGAGTGAGCTTAATCTTCATGCAATTTGTCTGCTGTGGAGTCAACATAAGCTTCACTCTTCTCTCAGGACCCCGACTACTTACACTGAGTAACAAATGTACTCCACAAACAACCCCATTGAAATCAACGATGGACTCCACTATGGATAAACCAAGAGGCTATTTGCCTTTCCTGTGAATGGGGATACTTGTGAAGTAAGGTACTACCGAGCTGTAGAATCGGGCCCTGGGTTAGTTGCGTACAAGTTACTTTTATAATGGAGGCTGCTACAGCATGGAAAAGAGAGGGTCCTACAAGAAGGAAAAAACAAAGCAACAGGTAACATGTTAAGTACCAACCTGTCTGTGCTGGGATCCTTCCTTTTGTTTTCTACGTACAAGAGCTAAACATTGACTCTTCTTTGCATCTGTTATGCACATACAAAATAAGACTTAGGAACTTCACTTACCCACTGTTTACGAGCATGATTTCTCCTCTTAAAGTACAAAATTAACTTCTTCCGCATTGCCTGGTTTCTAAAGCAGAGAAAAGGGGGAAAAACATAACAGTCCGTTAAAATGCAAAGTCCTGCACACCCCTTCTGTTTTCCAACACCATGCAACAATTTCTACCTTAACTTTGAAATGACAGCAACTTCCGAGCGGCGGATGTGGCACCTACAACAACACTGCATATATGGACCTTACTGTCACTTTGGAGCAAAACGGAGGTGTTCCAGCAGTTCTCCTACGCAGACCAAAGTCTTTCCGAATGCTCCTTTGATAAGCTGCATGGTTTGCCTTGCAGTATGCACTTCACCTTGGGTTAGTCCTGTCATCCCAGCGCCTGATCCTACCAACGTTTACACGTGTGTAACTTTACTCACTGATGTGTTTCCAGGGTCAGGGCCATAGATTCTAACTAACTTCACAAACTCCCTTAATCCTCCAAACATCTGCGACCAAGCGTACCGCTCACTACCACAAGTAGCCCCACAGATAACAAGTGCTCTATGTTATGTCAATAGCACTGCTCCCGGGAGCAAGCAATAGCCAGGATAGTGCATGTTGGAGGACCAGACCCTTCATTTTCCAAGTGATGAATGAAAGACAGCCACGTAACAGTACTGGCGTATTAGCGCCTATGGTATCTTACTGCCCCCACCCCCATGGTCCTGACTCAAAGCATTAACTACACAGCATCCCTGTGGTACAATTCAATGTTAGACGCAGTTTACAGCTGGAAAAACAGTAGCGCTCTGTGGAAGCTATGCCACAATTACAGGGCAATGGGAGGTTTCTGCTACAATGCTCAGAAACGAAGGAGAGCAATGCTGACATTTAAATCGCCGGGTTAGGCTTCGGCAGGACTGAATCAGCAGCTGACGCTTCTCTTGGGTCTCAGCTCAGGAAGGTATTTAAGCACGTGCCCAACTTTCAGCGCGTGAATAACTCATTTATTTCCCTGGTTAATGTTAGGCATGTGCCGAAGCACCTAGCTGCAGCGGCCTGAGAGCTGGGGTTACTGCTGGCTGCAGACAGAGAGTGCTGCAACTTTCACATTGGGGAAGTTTTCTTTACTCTAGGCTTGATTTGCTTTTTCTGGAATGCTGCAGTTCTGCAGAGAGCTGCCAGAGAAGTATGGATGTAATTACAGCTCAATGCAACCTCTCCACACAGAGAGGTAAAGTGACTTTCCTAGGGTCATACAGCAAGCCAGTGGCACAGCTAGGATTAGAACCCTCAAGAGTTCCTTGTTTCCAGCCCAGGACTCAAACCAACAGGACCATGCTGCCTTTCCACTTACCTCTCGAAGAGAACTTTAGGACAGCCACCTTCCCAGCCTAGGAAAGGCAGAGCTGCCTGGAACGCGTGCCTGACTAGCCAGCACACACATAGTGGGCTCGATTTTCTACCTACAGGATCCAAATGATCGGAAGTGACGGGACTGAACTGGTGGTTTCAAAGGAACACTGGATGCAAGGAAATCTCCCACCCCTTTTACTCCCTGGGAACCCTGTCCTGCAAAGGAGCAAGCAAATCAACCTTGCAGAAGCTACTGAGTGCCATGCAGGATCAGGACCTCACCAGCAGCTATAAGGGATAAAGTAACCCATGTGGATTAAACTAATCTGCACTTTTAGCCAGACACGTCTCAGCCCCTCTCCCCCCCCCCTTTTTTTTTAAAAGAGGTCCAAAATACCACGTAGAAAAGAAAAAGTCCCCACCCCAAGGATGGAGAGCTGACGGGCTCGCAGAAGCCTGCGAAATGCTGGCTGAACGCAAGTGCTGAACTGTTTCAAACAAACATTTGCACTGCCAGTCGTTCTTGCAATAGAAATTTGGCAAAGAACAAAGATCAGGTGTGAGTGTGTGTTTGCAAAGAAGCCTCTGATCCCAATGAAAGCTGAGCTGCACGGTGCGTAATTACTAGCGGGAGCCTAAAAAGAGTCTCACCCACCCACCCAGGAGTTCCCAAAATGAAATACACCCCGTGTTCTCACGGAAAAAAATTACAAAACAGAGCAGCAGAGTGAATGGACTTTATTTTAAAAGAGATCCACAGCCCCTCAGGGACCCACGATACACACTGTGCCCTCTCGCCCCTGCCTCCGCAATAACTGGGCATAATCTGGCCCTCCTGCAGGAGCTGCATTACAGACACCGGATCCTTCTAAGCAGCATTTCTCCAAAACACAGGGAGCAGCCCAAGAGCTACCTAGCCAGATATGGGGATGGATGGATCATGGATGGATCAAAGAAGAGGTCGTCACCTTTATACAAAGAGTGTATAGAGTTGGATTTACTTTCTAGAGAAGAGGGGATGATAATGGAGATATCCTATCTCCTAGAACTGGAAGGGACCCTGAAAGGTCATCAAGTCCAGCCCCCTGCCTTCACTAGCAGGACCAAGTACTGATTTTGCCCCAGATCCCTAAGTGGCCCCCTCAAGGCTTGAACTCACAACCCTGGGTTTAGCAGGCCAATGCTCAAACCACTGAGCTATCCCCTCCCCCCTCCAACAGAGCACAAGGTCCTAACAAGGCACATTCTACCCTTTGCGGTTCAATCACCCACATTTGCTTTGGCTGCTTCTCAATTCCTCTCCTGGCATTTATAGATTTTCTCCCTAGAATGTAAGCTCATTGGAGCAGGGGCTGTTCTTAAACCTGCCTGCAAAACGCTATCCAAATAATAGCGGGACGTGGGTCAAAATCCAACTCTGACTTGATTCGTGGTCTAAGTAATAATGTTATATTCTGTTTTCCTTTTAGTTACCGGTGGTGTCAAATGAATGCTGGCTCCCTGAGCTCTGGTTAAGCCGCGCTACGCTGTCATTCGCTCTGACTTTATCTTGAACGCTTTGATGTAAAAATAGAATATGATTTCCAAGGTAGTGCTTGCAAGTGGCATCTGCAACCTCCTCCTTCAAATAGGAAATAGCAGCTAACTGCCTGAATTAGATTCAAACATCCCCAGTTTGAGCCTTCTGAAAGTAAAAAGCTCAGCCTCAAACCACCACGCATGGCTAATTATGGGCAGCGATAAGTTTAATAGAATTAATACCGATGTCAAATATCAGCATAAAGGCTTGTGTGTCCCTGCAGACCACAACTGCCTGGATCTAGAATAATTTTTTGAACAAGGGCCTGCATATCAAACGGTGTCCTTTTTATTATTATTCTGATTATATATGCATATATATAGGCAGTGTTGATCACAAAGAAAAAAAATCTATGGCAGAGGGGCTGCTTTTTGGGGACGAGAGGGGCTCACTTTTTTTTGACTGTATGTTTGCAAAGGACCCACTGTTATTTCAATCGGCATTGCAATGATCAGAGCCCATCCCATTAGACCTATTTAACCAACATCACTGACAGAGGCTTTTCTCCACTAGATCACACAATCCCGTTGGGCTTTGTCTACATTTCTACGGCACGTTCCATCAAAGGATCTCAAAGTGTTTTGAAGCTAATTGTTGACTTAAACCTCACCATCCAGCTGTGAGGAAGATAAAGTATTTTCTCCCCTTTTTAAAAAATGGGGAAACTGAGGCATGAGGTGAAATGACTTTGCCCACTATCATGCAGTGAGTCACGGAAAGAGCCAGAGACAGGGACTCAGGACTTCTTGTCCTGTGCTTAAGCCACTAGGCCATGTTTCCGCTCCAGAATACTGCAGCTTGGATGGATTAAGGCTAAATGCAGCCAGATCCAACATAATATCAAGGCCCGCAAAATATTAGGCCTTCCAGGAAGAAAGTTCCTTCACGGCTCCACCCCCCACCCCCCCCTTAGCCTTCTCTCCCAAGTCCTCTGAAGAAATTCTTGACTTCTCACTGGCCCTGCTGAGCCAGACCCACTCAGAACACTGGAATTAACCTTTCATAGAATATTAGGATTGGAAGGGACCTCAGGTGGTCATCTAGTCCAACCCCCTGCTCAAAGCAGGACCAATCCCCAACTAAATCATCCCAGCCAGAGCTTTGTGAAACTGGGTCTTAAAAATCTCTAAGGAAGGAGATTCCACCACCTCCCTAGGTCAGTGGTTCTCAAAGCCGGTCCGCCGCTTGTTCAGGGAAAGCCCCTGGCGGTCCGGGCTGGTTTGTTTACCTGCCACATCCGCAGGTTCGGCCGATCACGGCTCCCACTGGCCACAGTTCGCTGCTCCAGGCCAATGGGGCCTGCGGGAAGGGCGGCCAGCACATCCCTCAGCCCATGCTGCTTCCCGCAGCCCCCATTGGCCTGGAGCGGCGAACCGTGGCCAGTGGAAACAGGTTATCTGAAAACAGAGCATTGCCAACTCTGATGATTTTATTCCAAGTCTGAGGACATTTGCTGTTTTTCGTCAAGCCCCAGGTCTTGGAGTCAGGTGATCGTTAGCATTTCAGCTTTAATTAAAAAGAACAACGTTTTATTTCTACGTTTCCTGGTTGTATAGAAAAGGTTGAAAATGTGAACCCTAAACCTCAAACACTAGAAGGCAAATAAAAAGAGCCCAACAGTTATTACTGTCTAAAGTCTGGGATTGAAGAGAGTCTGACAGGTGATTTTTGAATGCTTGGGGTTGGCAATGCTGAATCACAACACTGCAGGAGAAAAAGTGAAATTGACCAGAAACAAAAGAAAACCCGACTAACACATTTCCAGCTTCCAAGCAGCACAAACAGTGGAAAAAGCAACTGGGGGCTTCACTCACCAGTCCAGTATCAGGCAGCACAACTGCACTAAGTCAACAGAGCTCCACTGACATAAAACTGGAGTAAACGCAGGAGTGAAACAGGCTCTAGATTGTTAACACTATTTCAGTTTTAATCATTGAGGGGCCCGATTCATCCTCCAATGGGGACGTCGATGGGAGTTGCAACTGTAAGCAATGCCAGGATTGGGCTCACTGGTGTCAATTTAAAGGTAAGCAGGGAAGTCGATTTCCACAGAAGAGTATCCCTTTAAGCTTTGCCTCACACCTGTGAAGTCGGAAGGCCAAAGGAGAAGTTCTGCGGCTCTCTGCTATTTATACACCCTGCAACAAGGGAG